TACGCACAGCTCTCTGAGCTCTGCACTCTGGGCCGCTGCAGCAGCTCCGTCTGCGCTTGCTTCACCGTCCTGCCGATTGGTCCGAGCTTCAGCTGCGGGACACGCGGCCTCGCTCTGATGTACAGGGGAGTTCACGGTCCACTCGTCATCCCTCCTCCACGGCGCTCACAGCGAGCCGTTTGCTGCTGTGCACTTTACTCTCGTCTGTTGCTGAAGTCTGCAGCAGCTTTGCAAACCTAAGTTTTCTCCTCTTCTCTTTTAAACCAGCCATACTTCTGTGGTCTATTTCTATTTGTGCTGTCATTAACTTCAGTGTTTAAGATGCTAACTGAGGCCTGTAGAGTGTGAGATGCTTTGATATTTGCACAAATTGACTGCAGCCACACCAACATCCTATGAACAACCCTTCTGTAGAATGACGGACTTTCACATTGTGTGGAAATGACCTCATCACTCCTCCCAGATTGATGGACAGCACCAAGAGTATTGCTGATGTCTCATCCTCAGCACTGATAACACATTCTTGCTGACAACATTTCTACTTTTATACAGGTGGCTGCTTCTTACACCTGTGACAGGTGAGACCTGAGTCTGGAAACTGCCCCTGGTGGGCAGAGCTTTTCCCTTTTATAAGCACAGGTGCAGGTAATTTGTTGATCTCTTGTGTGAACCTGGAGTTGTGTGAATACTGGGTCTAAGCAGCGCTATTTGGCCTTTTTAGCTTTTCTACAACAGCTTGATGTGGCCTTCTGTTGGTGAGGTAGGCCCCAGATAACGTTCTGCTTGAGCTTTGGCAGAGGTTTAAATTATTTGTACCCCAGTAGCAAAAAACTGGAAACTTGCCGGGGACAGTTGACTGAAAAACAGACATGAGGCAAAGTGGGAGGGATATTCCTCCTGAGGTAACCTGCTCAGTGTAAGTAATGTCCTGTTTTAGTTTACAGATAGCCAATGGCTGCTGGGCCGACGTCCTTAGATGTCTGTGTCTGTGTTTTGAGGCTGATTTAATTTGGCAGCGAAGAGCTGAGAACTGTTCTGATGGTTGTGGCTGTTTATTTGGTCTATTTGTTAATCAGCGTATCAGCACCCATTAATGTACGGATTGTGTTTTAGCAGACAGCGAAGGCACCACGTGGAAACTGATCCTTTTTCTCGCTGCTTTTGCATGTTCATAGAATAAAATAGAATACAAATGCTATTTTATTCAACTGTGTATATAGTATTTTATTCTATTCTATTGTGTAGAGTTGTGTACAGTATCTTATTGATATCTTATTCCAGTCTTTATTTTTTTCTAATTTTTCTATGTGACTTTGCACTGTCCACTGCTGTAACAAAACAAATCTCCCACGCGTGGGACTAACAAAGGTTATCTTATCTTACCGCGGTGACGGGCATTGAAGAGTTTCTATGACACATCTTTGCCCAATCAAGTGTGGCCGTTTAATGTGTTCGTTTTTAATATATTCCCCTCAGCGCTCGTCTGTCCCACCTGTTACCTGTTTAGAACAATTGTTTTTGTATTAGGGTTAGCCTTGTGGACTGACTGCGTACCTGCGGCTCATTCCCGCTGGGTGCCTCCCTCGGGTAACACCATGGTGATGCCTATAGAACTAGTAACAGCGGGCTTGGTTTTTTCACAGGATTGAATATAAATCAAAGTGAACTGAGGGGGTTCAGCTGTGAGATGAGGACACGCCCCAGTTTCCAACGATTTTTCCACCTGTTTATTAATAAAGGTGCTTCTGATTTAAAACCTGCTAACATCTCGGAATAAAATGAGTGAACTGACTTTCTCTGCCCAAGCTGCTCCTTTAACAGCGCCCCCTTGTGTTGAAACAGGTGTAGTGTATAACAGTACAGATTTGTTTTTCAGTACTTACAGTGGGAACTGGTTTCTTTGGAGTATCATAAACAATAAACCAATGTTTGTCAACACAAGTTCAATAAAATATCATCTCTGAAAGTACAGACACAGGAAACGGGTAAAATAAAGATGGGTTTCCACGGATATACCAACTATTATATTGACTATAGATCATTACAGTACATACAGCGCAGTAGGTAGTTTTACACGTTATCAATCAAACAGGAGCGTATAAATAAATATGTCAGCTTTATGAATGAAAACAAGTTAGTTTGCAGCAGGACGTTTGTGTCTTCATCTGGTAGCAGGAGGAAAATGGAAATGACCTCAGTGCAAATTGTGCATCTGTAAACATCAAAGGAGTCTGATTATTTCTCTTTAGGCCAGTTCAGGTCTGAATGGAGGAGAGGATGAGAAATTCAGAGGAATCTGAGGAGCTTTCTGTGGCTAAACATTCAGACAATTAAATGAAGGTAAGGAGAGCTTCACCCACAAGTTTCAACTTCAACCTGCTGAAAATCTGAGGGAGCTACAACGGTGAAACGAATTACCACGTGCATGAGGAAATATGTTGAGCTCTAGTATTGGGTAATTTCAGTTATCCTTTCTTTTATTCATTAAACTGATCTTGGGTTGGAGTTCTTCATCGAGCTTTCCTTGGATGTAGGAATTTTACACCAAGATGGTGGATCTCCTACTGGTCATCCAGAGGTACTGCACTTTGTCTGTGGCAAAACGATGCAACAGGAAGCTGTTCTTCTGTTTGCCACACTAGAAAGAAGTAATCGTGACTGCCACTGGAAGACATTAAACACTGTATATCAAACAGGCCCACTAGGCCAGAACCAACCCACCGACTGCTCCAGGTCAAATGCGTGGCTGACTGCGGTGATGCCAGCTTTACTTAGCATGGAAAATGTAAAGTACTTCTGCATGATGTTTGACTCATAAAGAATAAATATCAACGTTTTCTAGTTCAAAAATACTCAACAGTAACATTTTATGCTTTTGAAGACCCACTGTAACCTACAAGTTGTAATGCACATGCACCGTATGAAAAGCAGGTGATATCTGTGTCAGGTATATGTCATATGGTTTATTAGGAACTGAAGGCATGCAGATGGTGTAATAATCTTCCTTCTGAGTTTAATTTAAATTCTAGGTGTTTTAAGAACTCCCCTTGTATGTCAGCACAGTGGCTGATCAGGGGGAGCCGGGCCTCTGCACAAACAAGGCAAGTATATCCTCGTAACTCACTGACTTTAAACTGCTTTTCAAGCACTTTGGTTTCTTAAAGATCCAGAACAGTATTTGTGATGAAGAATACGTAGTTTGATTTAAAGCTTTCGTACTAATATGTTAAAACAAATTAGGACTACCTGTGAAGACACTGCTGACAAGCGTCACGCAATGTCACTGAAGAACCTGCACAGACATGCACCCGTCATCATATTCTCAGAATAATCTGATTCCTGAAGATGTGATGTTATATATGAAAGGTAATCGGTAAGGTGATAGAGTCTAACTGCATGTTGCAATGATCTTCAGTGTTGGTTGGATTAAACTCATACTGACCTCACAGTTTCACACCAGGAACAGACTAAACCTGTATTAAACCTAAACTCTTCTCAGGTGAATTGAGTCCTTGTTGGTGCAGCTCTCCTTAAAGACCACACCATGGTATTAATTTGAGTTCATCTGTGATGATCTAATGGAGATGCTTCACAGTAAATCAACCCCTGATTAGTCTCTGCAGCTACCCTTTGCTTTGCTCCCTTGTCTTCATTCATCAATCCCCGTTGGACTCAATGACTTTCTCCGCCAGAATCTCCTGGAAGGTCGAAAGCTGCTTCATCTGCTCTGTCTGCATTGAGTGTCTCCTCATCAGCTTCTTCTTCATCTTGAAGTCTGGGCCCCGTTTGGGTGAGGCTGGGGCTACTGGAACCAGGATCTTGTGTCCGGAGTTGATGGGGGAGGTGGGTTTCCCGTTGGCCCGGATGTCAGGGATGGGTCTCTGCGGGTTGATGTTAAGCGGAGGCAAGAAGCCGGGCCTGGTGTGGGAGATGTGGTCCAGCAGCAGGGTCCCAGAGCCCCGGCGCTCCAGGAGCCCTGGGCCACGCCGTCGCATAGTGATGGGGGAAACTGAGTTGGGGATGTTTTCCAGAGACTCCCTGGAAGAACTGGTGACCAGGGACAAGGGGGAAGCGTTGTACCTCCTCCGTTCTACCGAAACCCTCCCAGAGTCCGGTGATCCAGGAATGGACTCTGGACAAAGGTGGGTATCTGACTCATAGTGCTCCATCCGTGTGAGCTTGGGGTGAGCTAGGGCTCGGGCCACAACTGTCCCAGGTCCAGCAGCGTTCTCCTGGGATTCTGGAGCTGTGTTCCTGCGGTAGAGGATCTGGTGCTGCTGCACTTTGTCAGCCCACGACGGACCAGACAGCCCTGCGCAGTCCTCAGAGCAGGATCGGTCAATGAGTTTAGGGGAGGTGGGGTCGTGCGTCTCAATGCTGTGACGCCGTGACAATAGTGGCCTCACCGGCTCTGTGACAGTCAGTCCGTTCATCTCTGTGATCGTCTTGTTCAGGTTGCTGTTGCCCTCCTCCTCCAGACCTCCATCCACCCGGTCCTGGGGAACCCCACTGAGAACCGAAGGTGCCACCAGGCCCCACGGTTCTGAGTTCAGACGCTTAAGCAGTTTACGGGGAGGTGGCCTCTTCTCACCTGGAGGTCGAGCTGAAGGTAAAGGTAATGCTGAGGTGAGTTTGAAGCTGAAGATCCCTTCCTCATCTTTGTCTCCTGCAGGGGAGGAGGTGCCAATCTCCACCTCAGAGGGTGACATACAGGCAGGAGACAGTTTGTCCACAATGCCTGGGGATGGTGGGGAGTTGAGGTACTGTTTGGTCTTCTTGGTGCCTGACGGAGATGTGTCGGTGGTGATGATGATCACCTCCTTGCCCTTGGCCTTGCAGGAGTCCAGCAGAACCTGCAGGGTGTCTCGGTCCCCTTTGTTGATGGCGTGGACAAGAGCAGAGGAACCAGAGTAGTCTTTGAGGCTGGGATCGGCTCCGTTCTCCAGCAGCAGTGACACCACCTCCTTTCCTGCCTGCTCTGCACAGGCATGCATCAGCGCTGTCCGGCCACTCTTATCGGGGATGTTCGGGTCAGCTCCTTTCTCCAACAGATACCTCACCATCCTCTGCCGGGTCTGTGGGTCATCGTAGCTTGCTAAGCAGGCAGCGGAGATGGGCGTCTCGCCACGCTCATTGCCCTCGTTGATGTAAGCGCCACCCTCGAGCAGCAGGCGGGTCAGCCTCAACTTCCCCTGGAAGACAGCTTTGAGGAGGGCATTCCCCTCAGTCTGCAGGGATCCTCCATCGCCCATGATCCCTCGCCTCTCCTCAGACCTCCTGCCCACAGGATGCTGGCTTAATGCTGAATCTCCATCCTCCTTGATAAGTTACATGACCTGCAGAAAAAGTACATTGAGGTGAGTCCACCTGAATAAAAAACATGCTAACATGATGGAACCAAAGATACTATTTAAATTCTATGGAGTTTTTAACCACTGATATTTATTGAGACTCATTCTGAGTTGACGTCAGTAATAACTTCCTCATCCTGTCCTCATCAATTCTGTTGTACATGTACAATGACAATAAAAGACTATCTTATTGTATTCTCCAAATCATCAATGTGACTTATAGACCTTCTTTCCTACAAGACTGCTCAAAGAATTCCTACCATTAATCAATACTTCAATCTTAAATATGTTCAACCTATCTCTGCCTTGAAGCTGGCAGTAGCAGGTTTCAGAGCTCATCACAGCACAGAAACAGCTTTAGTGAAGGTTACAAATGATCTTCTTATGGCCTCTGACAGTGGACTCATCTCTGTGCTTGTCCTGCTAGACCTCA